GAGATTAATGCAGACATTGTGGACTTCTGGACGTTTCTCAGTCGAGGAAAACCATAAAAGGGTGTGTAGAAAGAGCGCAGAAATGAGGATTTGTTGAGGATGAGATCGCCGGCAGGTGGGTGGAAGGAGAGAGTGAGCTCACAGCCACCCCCTGCTCTTCGGCTCTCTCCCTCACAAGATGATGCATTGATCTCCCTCTCTCACTCAATGCATCCATTATGCTCAAATAATAATGAAATTTCTGCTTGGAATCTGGAGCAGATGAGACCAGATCCAGTGATTTTTCCCAAGTCCCTACAGCTGCTTCAGATCTGTTTGAATATGTGGGATGGGGGATGCAGACATATTGTATGCTCCAATAATGTTGCAATACATGTGCCCAGATTTTGAAGACATCTGTCTGCTCAAAATCTGCTTGAGGATTCTCCACGCCATATGAGCTGCTCAGATTATGTTCAAATACAAGTCAAGGGATTGTTTATGCTCAGATTCTGCTCAAATATTGGTGTGAGAGGACTTGGACTGGTTCATGATGGCGGTCTGCTCAGGATCTGTTTGAATAATTGTGTAAGAGGACTTGGTTGGTCTTGCAATGGTGGTCTGCTTGAGATATGTTTGAATAATTATGACAAAGGACTTGGTCAATTTTGTGTGAGGGATATGTTTGAATTAAGTTTGAATATACTTATTCAGAGTAGTATCTATGTGGCCTCCTGCACAGTCTCATTGCCCCTCTCATTGGAGTCGAGACCCAAAATGGAGACACTGTGTATGACATCATTCACCTCTTCCTCCTCTGCCTCTGAGCCCTTGTCTTCATCCTGCCATTGGTCAATTTTGTGTGAAGGATATGCTCAAATTATGTTTGAATACATTCAGATTAGGCAGCTTCCTGAACGAGTTTGCCCCCTTGCTCATTAGAGTCAATTGCCACTACAGTCGGATGGGTAACTAGGCCTCTAAGGGGCGTCATGACAAAAGTGGGACCCACCTTAGAGGGCAGTTTTCAGCATAGCTACCACTGTGGTATGTACCAGTCTGGTATCAACCTGAGTGCAGGTATGTACCTGCAACTGGTGGGTGGGACCCCAGCTAGCAGCCAGGGGCAAAAAATGCATTTTTGGGGCCGTTTCTGGGCTGTTTTGGCTGATTGTTTGAGCATTCTGCCAGGCTAGGTTTACCCATTTTTTGTGCAAAACTTTGATCTACATCATTTCTGAAGTGATCCCATCATGGGAACCATTTTGGATGCTGTGCTCCAACCAGTGATCCGATCACCGATGTGTGTAGATGAAAGTTGTTCAGTTTTGCAAGGGCTACAACTTTGGTTTCTCATCACTTTTTTTGTCAGCATCAATCACATGCTCTACTGCCACGTCAAATGGCTCTGTTTTTGGTTGCGCATCAACTTTTGATGGTGCTAATGATGCCAGTTCCAATCTCATCTTATCTTTCAGACCTAGATTGACATTTGCTGCTTACTCAATGGTGGCCCCTGACAATCAAATCCCAGGGAAATCTAATCTTGATGCTGCTGTGTGTGATTGGATCAATAATGTGGCACAGCTTCCATTTTAGATTGCATGTTCAACTTACATAATCTCAATTGAACATATTGGACATGTGACTTCTTTTTGGGGATATTTGGATGCAACTTAGAGCAACCCAAAAAGGAAATTTCCCTCAATTTTGCAATAGCACATGCTCCCATTGTGGGTTTCTTCTCAGCTCTTTAGAATATATTCTCTTATGTGATTCCTTGCACTTGTGCTGTTCAAAACTTCTACACTGTTGTTTAATGCCTCTATATCCTGATAGTGAAAGCAAAGGTCACAGGTGGGAAATCAAAGTGCCCTTTGTAATGCAGGTATTCTTGCTTCAGTAACTCAAAGTAATGTTTCACTTTATTGTGGCAACCAATTCGAAGATTTTCCGCAATTCATTGATCTAAAAATGAGGCTGTATCTATTTCATTCAGGTGCATCTGGTTCTATATTGCAAGGTGAATAGGGACTCTTTGGATGAGTTTCATGCTCTCTGCAACATTGCAATGAGCTTTCACAGGGATAATCCTCCAGATTATGAAATCTATGGCAAGGAATCACAAAAAGACCACATGACATTAAATTAGTGTGTAGGGAGTTTTTGTCTTCCCTTGCCTTGGAATCCATATTCTGAGTGTGAAACCCCCTAGAAGTCCACTTCAACATTGAGAAGAGCTTGGAACTCACTTACATAGTTCCTCTTACATTGCTAATGTAAAATCAGTTGCACCTGAAAAAAATAGATAGAGCAGGATTTTTAGAGCAATGAGGTCTCTAAAATTCCCAAATAGCTTACTGTAATGGAGTAGCACATTGCTTAGGGTGACTGAAGCAAGAATATCTGCATTACAAGAGTGACTTTCATTTCTATCTGTTACCCTTGCTTCCACTGCTTTTTCTGTTCCTGTAATGGCTGGCTCTACTATGTGATATAAGACAGCAGTGCATTGCTAGAGAAGCATGCAGTGTTGGAAAGGAAGAGGGATATGCATAGAAAAATGTGTGCTGTCATTGAAAGCTATGTAGGATATCAATAAAAGAATTAGAGTACGGAGGCATTGTGCAACAGTGCAATGGCTTGGAAGAGCACAAATGTAAGTGATTGCATGGAAGAATATCCCCTGAATGGCTAAGAGAGAACCAACAACATGAGCATAAATTGAGTAAGCAGATGATGTCAATCAGGGTCTGACAGTTAAGATGAGATTAAATCTGTCAGCTAGGTCTGTGATCTGTGACAAAAAAGAATTGTCAGGTGGTAAAATCCTGCCCCAGAAATCTGGAAACACCCAATATTAATGACCAGACGTGATGAAGACCCAATCTGAGGAAAAATGAAATTGCCACCTTAGCTTGTGGCCTGTGACCAATCATTGTATTTCTTCCCTGTTAGGGCTCTTGTGACATGTGACTGGTGAACTGATTATAAACTTATATTACATCATTAACATCATCAAAAATTGATGTGCAATCAAAAGCTGTGCTATTCCACATGGTGGTGAAGTACGTGACTGATGCTGGTATAGAAAGTGATGGGAAATCAACATTCTTTTTCTGGACAATACCCTATGCTGACTTTCAATTCTGGCCAAGTGCCCCAGAATGTGCCAAAAATAGACAATTCTGAGTGTACTTCTGTACAAGCTCAAACCATACAAGCAGCCTACAAAGTAATTAGAGCATTTACAATTTTTTTCTTTCCCAGCCTACGGCCAGCTGTGGGATCAAATACAGCATCTGTCTATGGGGATACGCTGAATGCACCCTCAATGTTCTTATATACAAGCTGAAACATCCATACAGGCAGCCTGCAAGGGTAAATGGAGCATTCATAAAATGCATGAGGACAGGATGGTCCTGACCACATCCAGCCCCTGTAGTGGTTGCAACCACCCACTCGAGCCTGCAAAGGGTGATTTTCTTTTCTGGCCTATGGCTGGCTGTGGGGCCAGATACAGCACCCTCCACTTGGTATGATCTTGATGTGCCCCCAGTGTACTCGTCTACAAGCTGAACAGCCTATACAAGCAGCCCGCAAGGCTGATTGGAGCATTTGACATTTTTTTCCCCCTGGCCTACAGCCAGCCCTGGGGCTGGATACAGCATCCCCCTCTTGGGATGGGCTGAGTGCACCCCCATTGTACTCATCTACAAGCTGAACAGCCCATACAAGCAGCCCACAAGGCTAATTGGAGCAATCACAAATGCATGATCACAGGGTGGTTGCAACTATATGCAGTGAGGACCATCAATTGACCTGAGGTGGCTGCAACCAAAGGCCAACAAATGGTCAAGACCACCCTTTTCAACACTCAAAATAGGGTGTGCTACTGATTTGGGATGGGTGGTTGTGCCCAAAGAGGTTGATGGTCTGAGACCACTGAGTGGTCTTGGACCCTCTTAAGGCTAAAAAATGACCACTTTTGGTACCCTATTAGGGTCTCAGACCATACTGACTGGACTGCAGTGTATCCAGAGAGATGTCAACCGACACGGAGCTAGGTGGCAACAACTTCTTGGCACATGTATACGAACTGACATGAGCGCAGCCCCGACCCCAGTGGAATCCAGTGATGAAGAGGGCCCCGCATCCCCACCAGCAAAACGTTCTCGACTAAACCCAACTCCGTCAGCAGCATTGGACGACGTCGGCGATGAGCAAGTCAGTCTTGCGACGGAAACATGCGCACGAATCAACACAGAGGAGTTGTGGGCGCAGCTGGACCGCCAGCCCAGACCCAGAGAACACATCCTGCGCTACCATTTTGGAGACACCAAATCTTCAGTCTTTGTGGCTTCCGGGTATCGTCCACAAGACCTCAATGATGAACCTGAGAAGAATGACTACATCAGCACCAGTGTGGAGTACCAAAGGGAGGGAAGGTGGCACTCTCTGTCTCCTTCACACATCCCCGTCATTGCTGATTGTCATCGCATACACCATGCCAACATCTATGAGCACCTGATCGAGACCCTCTGTTATGGGACAGCTGAAGTCAGTGACACCGAGTCAGTCGCTTAGTACGTCGCTTAGATTTGGTGAACAATTGGTACCAATGGCTTGGCTGACGCTGACATGCCGTTTTTCCATACATTCATAGAAGCGACGGAGTAATTATTATCACCAGCACGAATGCAACAAATATAACGTCTTGGCCTTGTGCTTCAGGGGTAAGAAGATAACAGCGCAACGTCTTGGCCTTGTGTTCCAGGGTGTAAGAAGACAACAGAGTGCATGTCACAGCTGAGTCACATTCCCTTCACTTCTTGGTTTTTTTATTCATGACTTCTGTCACCGACATGCTCCTGGAATCGGAAGATTGTCTTCAAGTAAAGCACATATTGGACAACGGAGCAATCAATTGGATCCAACGGGAAAAGACGTGCGACCCAGAAGGTGTCACTGCCTTTGAACACTGCTTGGTTGGCCTGCGTTATCACCACGCACTCAGCAGAATGCTAGATATGCAGGATGAAGCGGTCCAAGTCCGTGGGGATCCTCCCGCATACTGGAGAGAAGGCATGGGCTTTGCCAAAGATCGCTGGGAACAACGAGTATGTGAGTGCCGCATACCAGGCCAGTAGTCCAGCAGCTGGTTAATCGAAGATATCAGTGCCACTACGGCCTCAGGGTCTGCCCGTTCCATCAGAGGACATTGGTACGGTCAATGGTCGATATCACCTCGCAATGTGTTCTGATATTACACGGTCAGGCTATTTTGACCGCTCATTCAATGACGCCGTTCTGGAAGAAAGGGCCGACCCAGAGCAATTGGCTGTGTTCCACTTGCGAGGCACTGGCCCCGAAGGTGTCAGTGCGGCGGTCAAGGCATTGGGTGGGGACGACATGAGCTTGTCCCTAATGCTTTCTCCACATGGCAACATGGGGACTGCGCAGAGGTACCATACTCGTGAAGAGATTTATCTGACCGACGCTCGACCGCCTGCATTCGCAAATCCGCCTGCAGATCTGCAGTGCTCAGTCTGCTATGGCATACTGTCTCATCCAGTGAAGTAAGTGTTTGCATTGGCTCATGGCATATAGGTTGTTCCGGATGGGTCGCTGATTGGCCTTCCCCAGGGTCACTTGTGGGCACAAATTCTGTTAAGGATGCATATGTATGTGGATCCAAGAGGCCAACGTGTTCTCTTGTCCGATGTGTCGCGCGTTAATGAAGTCCGCCCCAGTGGCAATGCCATCCACAGCGGCACTGGTGTCGTTGGTACGTGGAGCAGAGCAGGACATGTCTGTGATTGAGTACAATTGGTCCAGTGTGATTTGGGCTGGGACTTGTTGTGTAGCACTGCCACCGGATTTCTCGCTCCAAATGCATCCAGTGCTGAGCTAGATAATGCTTATTCCATGTTCTAACGCTACATACTATGTAACTGAATGCTCCCCGTACTGTATCACTGTATTGTGTGGATTGCCCTGACACCAGTGACGGGCACCCACACTTACGACACGGGTGCCCAGATCCCATCATGGGCGCCCACAGCAAACTACGGGCGCCCAGACTTACGACACGGTGAAATGCTGAGGGCGTGCTCACAAGTGAATCCACTATGAAAGTAAACCCAAATATAAACACGTTCACACTCCTCGTAATCAGCTTCTCAGTGTGTGAAAGATGCAAGGGCTTCGGGGTGGACAGAGCACCAGTCTCACAACTCTCAATAGACGCAGATCCAATAGTCGCGGAAGACGAAGTTGACGACAAGAATTTATATATAGTAAACAATGGTGTCTCAACCAATATCTTCTATGCAGCCAAAACGAACACTAATCCAACCACAACCAATAATATCACAAGTCAGAGCTTAATACGAAGTATTAAAATCCCTTGTAGCAACAGCGTCCAGATGGTGACGCAAACCCCAAATATCAAGTCGATGCACTGCCAACTAACAGCCAATATTCAAATGTCCAAAACCCAAGCACAACTTGTCGGCGCACTGCCAAGCAAGAGGTGTGGAACCAAAGTTCTCAAGTAGACGCACTGCCAACTAACCAAAACAACCCGAGTATAACTAGTCGACGCACTGCCAAACTAGAGGTGTGGAAACAATCTCAACAAAGCCCAAAGACAACGACACTAAATGCCGCGACTAAAACCAGAAGCGCCGAATCTGACTTTCTGATATCTCAACTCAAACTCAAATCACAGTAGCTACAAGTGCTCAGGGAGCAACTCGTCGCGACCGGGCAGGGGTAGCAGAACTTCTTAGGGTGGAATCACGCGGCACGCAAATTGTACAAAACAATCTGATATGAGAGTAATTCACAGTCCGGGGGAAAGCTTTCTAATACAAAGAAACGACGTGCTACTTATACTGTCTACGACGATGCTTAGTAAAGTCCTGTACAACTGCATAGTAGCTATGCTATCTAAGACCGGTTGCCTTTTAGGGTAATGAAAAGTTGAACAATCGGACAGGTCCTGAGTGATCAGAACCCCGCCCCATAGTCCATATGATACTTTTGATGTGGGTCAACCCACCGCGTCATACTTTTGGAATACGAAGTGCTGGATTGGCCAACTGGTATGTCTTGGCAAGTGAGTCCAACGTGGGTGCCCCAAGAAGCCGTATGGCCCTAGGCACGCCAATTGTTTCTCACATGGTTCAGTTCATGGATCTAGCCGTATCGATTTTAGTGTGTTTGAGTATGGGCGCGACTCGCCATGACACTTGGAAGTGTCACCGCAACGCGTCCACAATGTCCCGTGATTGAGTGGATCCTGACATGTGACAAGTCGTCGCCAAGGCACGATCTGAGGAAACGTCCAACTCAAAACCAGGAGTTGCCGCAACAAGATTGGTTCAATCTCGTAATGCCAAGTCCTGTCCAGTTGTAGTTGTATTATTGAGAACGTCGCACATTGCTCAGCCCTTCAGCCCAAGTTCCCATCTGCAGAGAATGACCCTTTTGAGAAGTCGCCGCAACAAAGATCCCGTTTTGGGGAATTGTCGCGGCCCAAGTGTTCGTCACTAATAGCCCTGAGCCTGGTATAGACTCATAAGACCAATTCCACAGTAGTGGTCTGACTGCCTTGCTATTGTCGACACTATCCACAGTCATCGACTGGGCAGTAGACCCTTAAGTCCTACTGAGCGCAACACTGTCAACCGCGACACGATACACCGAGTGGTTCAAGAGTAAACTCTGTAAAAGCGCAAAAATACGCCCTTATAGAGCTGGTGCAGAGCGCGTTTGGTAGCCAGCCTATCAGCGGGAGTCCTGTTTTGACCTCCAGGGATGTAAGTCCGGTCCAGCGGGACTCAAGCAGGACTCCAGCAGGTCCCAGCAAGTCCCGCGGCTGATTCATCTAGCCCCCATGAATGGTGCCAAACATATGAATTGATCGATCAGTTAGACAACAAACTCATTTGCGCCGCAAATCAGCATGCTGTTCCCAGCCTCCTTTTTATACATTCTCTACAGGATAGGTCATGATAGCAAATAAGTCCGAAGGTATGGCTATAGAGAAACTTTCTCAACGAGGGAGTCACCCATTGCTGCCCGGAATTCCCGAGGCTGAATTGACCGGCCTTCCGGCAGCCCTCAGGGAGGGTTCTTGGAGATCAGTGCGTTCTATGTCATCCCAATTTCACAATTTGATGCACAATCGCTCAATCACATCAAAGACTCAAGCCCGTGGCCGGCCTGGCTCGGCATGTTCACGGGCTCGGGCTTGGGCCTCAGCATTTGAGCCTGAGCCCGAAAATGCCCGTCCGAGCCTGAGCCCGAGGCTTTAGGCCCGGCCTGACCCCGCAGCCATGCATTTGATTGTTCGTCGTTTCTGCTTTACTCACTGTCTCTCTGGCACACTGCTATTGGGAGCCCCAAACGGCAAGTTTAATATCATGGGGCTGGCAGCCTTTGGAGTATGGGATGTGACAGGAGACCATAACGATCTCTTGTAAAACCCGCTGGACCATTCCATGGGATCGAGTCTGTGTACGATGATCGACAGAGTCCGATGAACTATTCTTACGTTGCTCGCGGAGGGTTTTCATGCGGTAGCCGAGTTTGTGAATCAAATGCTTTCTGGCCAAGATATAGTAACGGGGGCTTACCCGTTCTTGACACATTTGTCAATTCGAGTGATTCTTGGATCTTGGATCGGAAGAGCTGTGCGCACAGTTTCCTCAGGCGGGATTCCACACCAGTCCGTGTGATTGACACCAGAGTTTGAGAGGCCTTCCGAGCGGAAGTATATAACGCCCGTGGAGATTCTGTCTTGAGCCTGGCCATTGCAATTCACTCCCGCTCCTCGATGCAGCTCTCTACGTTCCTGCTGTGTCTGGCTTGGATGTTCCTTCGGACCCATGCTGCCAAAACTAACCACTCGACGCCGAAATGGGAGACCTTCTCATCGGTTCAGCCGTCCTCAGGTCTTCGATTTGTTACGAATTCCGACGTGTGCGAGACGACACCGGGCGTGGGCCAGCAGTCGGGATACATAGATGTCGCGGGAAACGCATCAATTGTACGGGTACCCTCTTATTCTGTGCGTTTTGATCTAAGGTAGCACAGTGGTACTGGTTCTTCGAGGCACGTCATTCGGCTAACACCGCTCCGCTGACGCTGTGGTGAGCAATATTGCTCAGGCATCTCCAGTTTTATCTGAACTTCAATCAGGTTGAATGGAGGGCCAGGTCTGAGCGCTTGATACTATGTTTCGACCCAGACTCACCGTTTGATAGGTTGCTCGGCTATGATTGGCATGTTTCAAGGTTCGGACGCGTCGAAGATTAATTCCGGTGATTTGAATCTTATCCAGAGAATGGACCGTGCAACGTGAACGCAGATAGCGCTTCCACGACCTTGAACCCATACAGGTCGGTGCATCCCCATCACGCAACTTCCGCATCTCATTGGCTGTAGCTGGAACAATGCCAGCAACCGTGATTGTTTCCCGTTGGCGATGGTTGCGGGATGACTGATGCAGCGCTTTTGCCAGTGCTTTATATGGACCTGCCAGTCGGCGCAGGGTTCTCCACCGGATCATCGGCCGTAGGTAGGGTCGATGAAGTCACACAAATGTTGTGGAGCGCGCTGCAGATCTTGTTCGAGAGTCCCACATTCGCGACATTCGCAAACAGAAAGTGAGGCTCTAATTCCTTTTGAGCGTGTCAAGGGGACTGAACCGTACGAAGCATGATCTTTGCCACAGAGAGTTTTGGAAAGTCATGCAGATACTCGACGAAGATACGAAACTGACATGCTGCAGGTGCCCATTTGGGACCGAGTGCGATCAGATATTTCCAATCGCAAAGTGCGTTGATCACGCAAGGAAAACTGAGCGGTCAAAAGATCGAATTCAAGGCACTGATGATCAACGAGTGAGTTGATTTGCGGGTTTGAACATGCCACGTTTTTGATCTGAAAACCCTGCAGCGGAAAGCACGACCCTCTGATTGGCTATGGGTCCTATATCTCTTTTGCTTCGGATGCCCCTGGATACGGTCCTCTCCAGCCCACACCTGTGATCAACAACATGACACAAAGCTACATGGAGACTGGCGGATGCGCGGATCAGCTCAAGCAATGCTACCGTGCTGGAAACGGTACTGCAGCGGACAAGCTTTGTGCGACTGCGGAACATTATTGTGTGAGTTGTCCGTCTCTACCCACTCGACGGATGCTGATGTTGGATCTAGACCCGTAAACTCTTTCGCCCCGCAGTGCAAGGTTATAATCCCGACTATCTGCTAGAGAGCAGTTCGACAACAGTCAAGTTCCCTCCCTCATATTATCTGAACTATGTGACTTCGCCAAAAGTCATGAATGCCATCGGGGCCAATACCAAGTTCCACGGATGTAATCCGGCCGTCAAGAGAGCATTCTCAGTTCAAGGAGAGGTGTGTCATCACAGAAAATGAATTTCGCGGCTGTATTCAGATCGGATCATAGCTCGGACGGACCGCTCTTCCCGATCTCGCCGCTCTGGCAAATGCTCGTTTTCCTATACTGATCTGGGTTGGAGATGCGGATATCAAGTGCGCGATTCCCCCTTGCCCGGCCAAGATTTCTCAACCTGACGTTATCCAGAGCGAACTGGCTCGGCGTGCATGATGCAATGGTTTCTATGAGCTGGTACGGTAATCTAACGCTCAACAACACCGCCTTGACGAATCTCACACTCGGCGGGTCGGCCGTTGCGGCTGTCAAAACGATTGATTCGTTCACTTTCGCGTGCGTGAAGATTTGGCGACTTGAAAACAAAAATTTCACTTCTGAATTCCCCTCAGCCGAGTGTACGGGGCAGGGCATAATTTGGCTGCTTACGTTCCCTCAACCGCGCTTTACTTCTTCAACCAGGTGGTGAAACTCGTTGGCACCTCAGGCTCAAATGCCAAAACCAAGACGGGCTCGTCTTCGGCCGCCGCCGCGTCATCGACTTCAGGATCTTCGATGAATGCTTCTCCGAGCAAGTGGATCACTGCCCAGCAAATCAATCAGATCTTCCCAGCTTGGACAATTATCCTGGTGGCATACTTGTACTACTGAGTGCCGGGTGTCGGGACTGAAGCTTCATGAACTATGTAGTTGCATCCAATTGAATTTGATTGCGGCCGTGCATTCATTTGAACTTGAGACCCAAGGAGTCGAAGAAAATGTAAATCAGGGCTCATCTGGTCCTGAGGAACCCTCCCTTCGAAGCAGATCGACTCTAGGGACCTGAGCTCGTATATCATGACACAACTAAGCATCATATCTGTTCTTTCAAACGATGTCAGTATCTATGGATTTATCATACGCGGCCATGAGGCATTATCACACTGCAGGGGGACTTGATTTTTTTCCGTGTAAAACGAGTAACAATCTAGAAGTCTGACTTTCACCGTTCTGTTTTCAGACGAAAAATATATATTGAAAATAGACGTCGAGTTACAGGTCGATATTAACCATGAATAGACATCAATTCCTCAGGAAAACAGAACTGTAAATAGATCATCTTTTCTTAAATCGAGTCTCACTGGGAATAGATGTTTATTTTCACCGAAAACAGATTATAACCACTGGAAGAATGTGTTGATTCCGGCCCCAATTCACACCGCAAGTCCTCCAGCATGATTCCAACATGTTGTGATCTACAGTTCTGTTTTCCGGAGGAATTGATATCTATTCATGGTTAATATCGACCTGTAAATCGACGTCTATTTTCAATATATATTTTTCGTCTGAAAACAGAACGGTGAAAGTCAGACTTCTAGATTGTTACTCGTTTTACATGGAAAAAAATCAAGTCCCCCTGCATTGTCATCATCCATAAGATCATGGTGTCATCCTCTGAGAGCAAAGGTAATTGATACATCATTCACATGGATACCGACACACAGAGATTTGTTCTGGAAGGAAGACATTGCGGTAATCTTGTTACATGGTTTGACCTTAAGCAGCAAAACGGGTCTTCACTTCCTCCTCCAGAAATTGCTCCAGAGTTCCGAGCTGAACGCCGAGCCCAACAAAATCTGGGTTTGGAATAGGGGTCCCTCCCAACAAGCCCTCATACTCCTCGTGGGCAGCGAACTCGAACCAAATATCAGATGGCGGCACAGAGATTCCAAATGGGACGACAAACCATCTCGTCGAGAGACTGGACCCCAGTCGGAGGTGCTTGTATGAATTTCACGGGAGCTCCAAGCGCTGAAGGCATTTCTTAAGATGTAGCAGGCAGTCAACGAGACGCACCCTCTTCGATTAGTTTGCTGAAGTGAGAGAAGGTGGTCCAGGCATTGACGATCGGGTACAATTTCCCGACTATACTGGTGTTTCCACTGGAGTACGCTTTCGTCAAGGCAAGTGACACGACGCCCACGTCGCGACCGCTCCAGGTGAATATCTCTTTGACATCAGACGGATAAGAAGCGGAGAGTACGTATCCTGACTCCGTTTTCTTCAGTGAATTGTACCTGTAAAAACACTGTGGGCACGAAGAGAAGTGTCAGCGCGCGATGCGGCTCACGTCCAGAGGTTGTCCAAGAACGTGCCGGTGAGAATGGACGCGTGCGCGAGTCCGGCGGTTTTGAGGTGCTTTTCCACTTCAGCCTTGTCTGTGAGTCTGTCAGCAGCGTTGGCGGGGTGTGGAAGAGACCAACACGCACGATCATAGTGAACAACCCCGTTGTACTTTCCTTTCGATACTTCGATGACACTGGGGAGAGAGCTAGAAGGGAGGATCACTCTTGGGGAGATGTATTGCACACTTCAAGGAATGTCACCTGAACACAAGGAACTCGACCCCCTCCTTTTTCGCAGCCTCGATAGCGTTGATACCTTGCGTCTTCTCGTCTACTGAGGCTCCAAAGGCCACAAGGACGGTGACCTGCAATCAGAGCAACTCAGCCTTGGTGCAAGCACGAATCGGACGAAAGCAGCAGCAAACGTACGAGGAACACAGCTTTGCTGCCCCGTAGCGCCTGGGTCAGCGTGTGGACGTCGGCACACGTATCGCCCTGGACGACCTCCACGCCGCGTTTGACCAGTGCCTGCGTTGCGCTCGAGGCCGGATTGCGGGTGATGGCGCGAGCCTGGAAAGAACCATCGGCGAGAATGGCGTTGATGACGCTGGAGCCTGTGTTCCAGGGTGGGATGATTCAGCGAGTCTGAGGCAAGCGTGAGGTGAACCGTGTACCTTGAGTGCCCGTGGCACCGAAAACAGAGAAGACTGGGCGGGACATGAGAGCAGTGAATGAGGAATGGGAAGTTGAAAATCAGAATGGCTGATATAAGTGTGGTGGGTGGTGTGCTGGTCCACGCGATGACGAAAAGCAAGTGGAAAGAGAACGGGCCCATATTGGGTCTGCGGCTTGGTTTGGCGGAAGAATTAGAATGAAAGGGGCACGCCCAATCGGGGCTAGGGAGCCGGCGAAAAGGTCAGCGGCTTGTGAATCCCTTCATTGGACGCAATTACCAAACGGCCTGGGTGGCCCGAGCTTTTCACATGAAGCGATCAGCCCGAAAAGTGCCGTAGAAAGAAAGGATGGCCAGGGCCAAATTCATGGTGGCGAAAATTGCGCATGCTGAGATGCCGGCAGTCACGTCATACCAGCGGCATCCCCGAACTTGAATCTTAGTCAGCGACAGCAAAGCACGGCATCATGACCAAGCTCAAGGTTTGGCACCCATTCAGACCAGCTCAGCATCACCCGAGAACTCCGAATCGGACGTCATGTCTGGCTCGGATGGGACTTGTCCCGGGCTGACTTCAGTCCAGTTGCGGATCGGACCGATTTCTGGACCGATTCTTTGCACCGTAACCCGATTTTAGTTTGAGTCCATTCTGGCATTTTTTTTTTGCGAGCGGCGCAGTCACCTGGCTGGCTTCTTCCTGCGCAGTTGCAATTGCGTGCCGCACGGTGTCGCGATCTGTGAACGATGGAATTCAATCGAATCCGCAGCGTCGAGGGCCACACCCTTTTGACCATCCCCCGTCATATTAAGCAGCCGTCGCACTCCAAGCACACCAATGTCTTATCCTCCACAACAAATGGCCCGCTTCACAGGTGAAGCCGGCGCAGCCCTCGTTTTCCTCATCGCTGTGCGTGCCCTCATCGTTGCCGTCCACCTCCTGTGCTGATCTATTGCAAACCCCCGCAAAGTACCTGGCGATCTTCGCGTGGATGCTCTTTGCATACCTCACCCACCGCATCAAGTGGCGCTCTCGCTACTCGCTTGTCTTCTTCCACGTCACCGTCCGCCTCGCCTCGCAGGCATGCGGGATCGCATTTGGCATCCTCGGGTTCTCGAACACGAGTGTGTTTCTGGCATTCCTCATTCTCGGCGCAGAGGGGTACTTTTCGTTGGTGGGCTCGCTTCCTGATCTGCACCTGCGCGATTCGCACTGATTCACAGCCCCCCACCGAAGGTGCTCTGCGCGTTCCGCTTCGTCGTGTCCTGGCACCAACACAATCTCTCCAGTGGCGAATCCTGGCTCGAGCCCCGCGATCCGCCCAACACAAACAAATGGCGCAAGGGCCTCATCTTCACGCTCCTCGGACCGCTCGCGTTCGTCGTCTACGGCGACCACCCGATGGTCTTCTTCCACTCCGCGCTCGTCGCCGCCAACGTCGCCATCATCGTCGGTGGCTCATACCTCGCCGGCGTCGACTACACTGACCTGAACTCGGCCGACGCACGCCACAGGATGCTCGTGTCGCGCATCACGCGCACCACCGGCCAGAGTGTGTTCCTCGCAGCCAACACGCTGTTGCTCGCCGTGGTCCTGGTCACGATGCGGAACAACCGCCGGGAGGGGGACGCTCGCCGCCGGCCTGGGACCGTCCATCCAACGCTGGTGCTGCTTCTCCTTGCGTGGTTCCCGCTCATCGTTCGTGGCATATTCGGAATCCTGCAGGCTTGCGTGTGGAGCGTGAGTGACAGAGCGCTTTGTTCTCAAACTCCCGCTGACTTTCGATCTTGCGGCAGTTGTCGTATTACAATCGTTCGTGACTATCCTGTCCAGACTGAACGACGAGCGACTCTGACCCCCATGCAGCGAGCAACTATGACGCCGGAGGTTTCACCCCCCGGTTCTCTGCAATCGAATACGTTCTGGGAGTGTTCACGGAATGGCTAGCGTGAGTTTTCTCTGCGATACGGACGGCGGCGGTTGCTTAACAGTCCATCTAGCTGCGTGCTGCTCAATCTGACATACTACACCTCCAAGAATGATCCTCGCAAGCCCAGCATGAGCGACGAGAGGGAGCGGGAGTGGATTGGCCTGAAGGCCGGAAATGCGTAGATCTTTGCCAGGTTTCAGTCTTTCTCAGTCATATAACCCCTTGCATACGTTGGAGTGATCGTCCACAAACGCTCCTTGTCTCCTAGTCCCTTAATTTTCAATTAACAGCTCATTGTCCCATCCAGATCATCCTAAGAGATCGTGTCGAAGCTTTTTCGTTCGGAGTGAGTCGTAAAAGACGCGCGTCCACGTAATAGTCACCAGCCTGAGGCGGCCATTCTTGGAAGTTTCCGGGGGCCCATGTCTGCAACCCGGTCGCTGTGCACTGCAGTTCAAAAGCGCAAGGAATCCGGCCTGCGCGGCAAACTCATAGGCGATGAGACTCGCAGGGTCCACATCTGAGAAAGCTTGGACTCATCACTGAGCCAGCGATGGTTTTTTCGAGTTTTTTGCTTCTCTCACGTGCTTGATTGTTACTTCCTTGCACCAATCTAGATTAATCTGACATGATGTACCGCACCGTCCGATTCGCGATCTTCAACCCACACATGTGCCCGTCAAAGACTACGCCCGTCTTAAATTCCCGGGTCTTTCCCGGTAGCTGCATATCAAAGAACTCGGTAAGGAATCTCTCACGGCCGCCAATCACAATTCAAGCGTCAAACTGGTTTTTCCTCTTCCGTCATGTGTAGCACAAACAGACTGATTTCCGGGTGCTTGAACGGCCTGCACAAGTCATTCTATATGACACCCAGATTTCGTACCCAGTCACTGCGTCTTCGTTCAGAAGTCCGCTCGGTCATATCTTTTTACTCGCCGGCCCGCTAAGTTACAAACTACCTATTGTAACTGCACGCTCAGAAAACTACATAAGCTCTCATTTCGCGGACTCACTCTCCACAGGTTGAAATTTCTCGTGCAATACTGCAAGATGTCCTTCACAGTCGCAGTGCCGATCGCTTTTACCCTCCTTTCCTATGTTGTTTTCCATCTCGCTCGGACGCTTTACAGGGGGTGGACGTCCCCCTTGAAATTCATCGATGGGCCGCCGTCGTTGAACTTGGTATTTGGCCACTCGTTATTGACCTCTGTGAGGATCCAACCCGTCTCTCTGTCCCCTTGTGACTGAATCTCGCTCCAGGACGTGCCAGAGACGGGGGACCGATGGCGGGAACAGTACGGTCCGACCTTTATGGCCAAGGGCATGTTCGGCGTACGTGAATTTTGGGATTTTCGTGTGAAAAACAGTCTCTCAGAAGCGGGCGCAGGTTGACGACCTGCACACGACCGACCTCAAGGCTGTAGCACATATCCTTAGGCACGGTTCGCTGTACCCTAGAACGCCCGAGTTTGTCGCAAGTCTCACTCGGATACTCGGTGCCGGACTCTTATCGGTCGAAATGGATCCCCACCGACGTCAGGTAAGCCTCCACGGCTGCCCGCCATCTCTGCTTCTCAATCCACGACCGTCTAGCGCAAGATCCTTGTGAGTGTGCCGATCGAGTGTTGGTTGCGTCTGAGCGCTGTCCCAGCACCCCGCGTTCAACGCTCAACAAATCCGCCTGATGAGCCAAGTTTTTCTGGAGCAGGCCATCGTGGTGACGTTCTGTTGCTTGCCTTGTCTCATATGCCACTGATGGCGACAGCTGCGAGATATTTTGGCGGCCAATGTTAGGAAAGCCGGTGGAACCGCCACCGTCAACCTCGCCGAGATGTTCCGTCAAGCGACGCTGGATATCATGGGACAGACCGGTGTGTGCTGCTCGTCTCGAGTCCCTGAATCGTCGTTCTAGCCATGATGTCAGGCTTCGGATACAACTTCAACTCTCTCCAGTCAGGGGGAAGAAATGAAGGCGACCTGAGCAAGGCCTTCCGTCTGTTGTTCCACGTTCCCAACGCCAACCTGAACACCGCTGTGCAGCTCGCTCAGGCCGTCATTCCAGTCCTCAGGGTTCTGGTGAGCGGCAAGCCAGTCAAATCACACGCAGTGCCTCGCTCATTTGACAACTCGCAGCCCCTGCCTGGCTGGCGCTCCACGCAGTTCGCAATCAAGACAATGAATGCAGTGGGAACAAGCCTCATGCAAAGAGCCAAGGCCGAGGCACAGGCACTGGGAGAGAAGGAATTGGGCTCAAGGCGTGATCTGCTCTCCATTCTTGTCAAGGCAAATATGTCTGCAGATGTTCCAGATAGCCAACGTTTGAGCGACAGCGAAGTCATAGCCCGTACGTGACTGCAATAAAGGTGAACTGAGACTGATTACGATTACCGGTGCCCTTCCAGAAATCCCGACGTTTCTCCTCGCCGGGCATGAGACCAGCAGTGTCGCGCTAGGCTGGGCCGTCCATGCGTTATCCCACCATCCCGCTGTGCAAGACAAGTTACGCAAGGAGCTGCTTTCCATACAGACCGATACACCGACCATGGACGAGCTGAACGCATTGCCATTCTTCGAGACCGTGCTGAAGGAGACTCTGCGGCTGTACGCCCCAGTCGTCTTTATTCAGCGCATGGCCATCCAGAACGACGTGTTACCGCTGAGCAAACCATATGTGGACCGGTGGGGCGTGTCTCACAAGACTTTGCCGTATGTTCCTTCTGCTGTGCTACAAAGACCGGTGTCTCTCATGATGGACAGAATCCCCAAGGGACAGCTGCTCACTATCTCGATCCTGGCCATCAATACTGACAAGGGGATTTGGGGCGAGGATTCCCTTGAGTTCAAGTCTGTGTGTTCTCTGCCTTCCGCGCATCGCCATTTGATGTTTCCTCTTCTCCTGTCTTGTGCAGACCCGAGCGATGGGATGATCTCCCTGATGCCGTGCGCTCGGTGCCAGGCGTGTGGGGTAATCAGTTGACTTTCCTCGCTGGTGCTCATAGCTGTATCGGCTTCCGATTCTCCTTGATCGAGTGAGCACAGTCCATTCTGTCGCACTGCCGGCGCACTTTGCTGATCTAGTCCCCATAGACAAAAGGCAATCCTGTTCAGTCTGCTCCGGGCTTTCGAGTTCCTGCCGGGAGCGGAACTTGTCAGCTCTGTGATGTCAGCGCAGCTGCAGCGCCCGTTCTCGTTCGTTTCCGATGGAAAGGGTGGTCGTGTTTCGACAGGTGGACTGTCTCTTGTACTGAAGGCATATCGAGGATCTTCTATTTGATCCGTAGTAGTCGCGCGCTCTAGTCCCGGAAATACTTTGGGAGAATTGAATATGCTTCAAGTTGGCGTCCAGATTTTCTGCTAGCTGCATGAATTTGTTTGACCCCCCATGACAATGAGTCTGCGGTGAAAGCGGCTCTTGTGCATGGAATTCACACCCCAGGGACCTCCAATTATTACGTAAAATGGCTTCGAGGCTCCCTCCGGAGGCCATCCTGGAGGCGCCTTCCTAATTGGGACACTGCCTGGCCATTTGTCCACCGTCTGCATGGTATACTAGGAATCGGCCTGAGTGCTGATATATGCTGTAGTAGTCATTATAAAGTCTCAGAGAATGTCTTAGCTCACAAAAGCATGTATTTCTTGCTTGCAAATGGCAGACCACTGGGCACACAAAATTTGGGATTTGAGCACATGAGCACTCCTCAGGTGTATAGAGCAACAGTACATGTATTAATTCAAGATTGAGCATGAGGTACAGTCACGGCAAAATTAAAGGGCCCAACCCAAATTAGGAAGGTGCCATCAACCTCAGCTCAAATATATTTATAGTAAGTCCAGCTCGCCAAATTCTGGCTGAAACTGGTCCATTCACCGAAAATTCAAACTGAAGCAGACATAATACTGTAGATAATGGTCAAAGTCTATCTCAACTCCTGTGATCAGCCAGTTGATGGCACTGACCAGGCTCCTTCCCAATTTGGGTTGGGCCCTTTAATTTTGCCGTGACTGTAGCTGTGCCCACACGCAGAAATGAGATGTTGCTGAAGGGATGGTTTATGGCCTCCACTATGGAGGCCTGCAACAGCATGCTGATAAGCAATGACTTGTCACTCATAAGCGATGAGTTGAATCATTGATCGGCGATCTATTGAGTTTTGTCACATGTTCGTGAATCAGGACCCCATGCACCAGGCCTTATGAAGTTTGTTTTCCAGAACCTAGCTTAGAGACTACGTAGGTAGATACAGTTTATTCACTTAATAAGGCAGTAAGGCCAACAAGCGGCAGGGTCCGGTGATAGGCTGGCTACCAGACGCGCTCTGCACCAGCTCTGTAAGGGCGTATTTTTGCGCTTTTACAGAGTTTACTCTTGAACCACTCGGTGTATCGTGTCGCGGTTGACAGTGTTGCGCTCAGTAGGACTTATGGGTCTACTGCCCAGTCGACGACTGTGGGTAGTGTCGACGATAGCAAGGCAGTCAGACCACTACTGTGGAACTGGTCTTATGAGTCTACACCAGGCTCAGGGCCATTTGTGACGAACGCTTGGACCGCGACCATTCCCCACAAAGGGATCTGTCGTTGCGTCGACTTCTCAAAAAAGGGTCATTCTCTGCAGATGGGAACTTGGGCTGAAGGGCTGAGCAATGCGCGACGTTCTCAATAATAGAACTACTACTGGACAGGACTTGGCGTTACGAGACTTAAACCATCTTGTCGCGGCAACTCCCGGTTTTGAGTTGGACGTTTCCTCAGATCATGCCACGACGACGACTTGTCACATGTCAGGATCCATTCGATCACGGGACATTGTGGACACGTCGCGGTGACACTTCCAAGTGTCACGGCGAGTCGCGCCCATACCCAAACACACTAGAAACCGACACGGTAAGATCCGTGAACCGAACCATGTGGGGGACGACTGGCGTGCCTAGGGCCATACGGCTTCTTGGGGCGCCCACGTTGGTCTCACTTGCCAAGACATACCCGTTGGCCAATCCAGCACGTCGTATCCCAAAAGTATGACGCGGTGGGTTGATCCACATCAAAAGTATCATATGGACTATGGGGCGGGGTTCTGATCACTCAGGACCTGTCCGATTGTTCAACTTTTCATTACCCTAAAAGGCAACCGATCTTAGATAGCGTAGCTACTATGCAGTTGTACAGGACTTTACTAAGCAGCGTCGTAGACAGTATAAGTAGCACGTCGTTTCTTTGTATTAGAAAGCTTTCCCCCGGACTGTGAATCACTCTCATATCAGATTGTTTTGTACAATTTGCGTGCCGCGTGATTCCACCCTAAGAAGTTCTGCTACCCCTGCCCGGTTGCGACGAGTTGCTCCCCGAGCACTTGTAGCTACTGTGATTTGAATTTTGAGTTGAGACATCAGAAAGTCGGATTCGCCGCATCTGGTTTAGTCGCGGCATTTAGTGTCGTCGCCTTTGGGCTTTGTTGAGATCGTTCCACACCTCTAGCTTGGCAGCGCGTTGACTAGTTGTGCTCGGGTTGGTTTGGTCAGTTGGCAGTGCGTCGACTTGAGAACTTTGGTTCCACACTTCTTGCTTGGCAGTGCGTCGACAAGTTGTGCTCGGGTTTTGGACATTGGATATTGGCTGTTAGTTGGCAGTGCGTCGACGCGGCATTTTGGTTTACTAGTTGGCAGTGCGTTGACTCAGTACTTTTGGTTGTGTCAGTTGGCAGTGCGTCGACTTGACATTTTGGTTCTACTAGTTGGCAGTGCGTCGACTCAGTATATTGGTTGTATCGGTTGGCAGTGCGTCGACTTGATATTTGGGCTTTGCGTCACCATCTAGACGCTGTCGCTACAAGGGATCTTAATACTTCGTATTAAGTTCTGACTTGTTATATTGTTTGTTTGTGGATTGGATTAGTGTTGGTTGTGTTCGTATAGAAGATATTGGTTGAGATACCATTGTTTGCTATATATAAATTCTTGTCGTCGACTTCGCCTCCGCGACTATTGGACCTGTGTCTATTGAGAGTTGTGATACTGGTGCTCTGTCCACCCCGGAGCCCTCGCATCTTTCACACACTGAGAAGCTGATTACGAGGAGTGTGAACGTGTTTTATATTTGGGTTTACTTTCATAGTAGATTCACTTGTGAGCACGCCCTCAGCATTTCACCGGTCCCCTGTTTGGGAGTTATGTGATCAGAAGGCTGTGCTAGAGATGCCGAAAAATGCATTTCTCGGCGTCTCCAGCACAGCCACTCAATCTCGTATTCAGCTTGCTCATAGGTAGCCTGCTGGTCCTTCAATTCAACGAATAGTTTTAGGATAATTAGGGAACTATCTTAGCACGTCACTATTGTACCTTTTAGCATCAGCAGTGATTCTAGAGAACATAAAAAGGGTCTGAAATAAACTAAAAACTACCATTCGTTGGCATTGGCAAGCTCATCGGGGCCTTCCTCATCCGAAAACCATGCAAATAGCTCATCTTTGTCATCAAGCATCTGCTCATCAACTTCGGGCTTGATGTTGTTGATAATAGTACTGGGGCAAGTGTTATGTGCATTGTCTGGTTGGTAAATTATGTCAGATTTGATTGATAAGTGAAAATGAAGCATAATGACACATACCAATGCCATTGCCCCAATTGACACCACCCATGTAACAGTTCTTTCCGAGTATTCCCTCTCTGCCTTGAAGTTCTTCGTATCTGGGCAGGAGTGGAATTATTTCCTGCATATCATTGTCTCCCTGGCGAAGTGTATAACCCCATCTATTGTCTACACTCTGATTCACCCCAGAAATATCATCAAGCTGCTTGCACTGGTATACAAGTTGCAAATAAACGTCCCAACAGCTCTGCCGTGTAACTGCAGGGGATCCGATCTTGGCGTATATCTCGGAGATCACATTATTGAAGTCGGACGGGACCAGCTCAAAGATCTGGAGATCAGCTGGTGCGTACATCTCCCGCACCATGTCAATTGCTGTAGGATCTACACGGACCTGCTGATGTGTTCAGTCAAAAATTGAGGGAGATAGAATGGATATGAACACTTGCCTTGAAATCCAGGATTGCATAGTCCTCTGGAAATTGGAACATATGCATGGGGACACCATGAGGCAGTACCTTATTTTGATCGTGCCTTTTACGAGTGTTATTTACTTGATAGCGATAGGCGTCGAGTTCAGCTTGAAGCCAGGGAATAAATACCCATTGAAAAATCAATCTGTATTAGAAATGAGGACAGGAAGTGGTCAGTTAAGGGAGAAGACAAACACTTCCAACAGAATCTTGGGATCATACCATCCCTGGTTGATCCCAACATCCAGGAGATTCTCGAATCCGGGTGTGAATCGACATCGCATCTGGCTCCAGGTAATTTCTGACATAACATTCTTCTTTTCTCGCATCCACCAATGTTGCAGCTTCCCATGAAGATTGGGATCTTGCTGTTGTCGAATCAGAGTGTGACCGTTTGCCACAGCGGTATTCTCGGTGCCGGGGTCACTCTGTGTCACTAATGGCATGACTAAGGAGCAACAGTATCAGAGAATCGAACACAGAGATTAGAAAAGAGAACATACATCCGAGAGCTTTGATAACGTTGAGGTAATATTTCAAGATAAGCCTTGGGTTGCTATTATTCCACCAAATTTTCATCCAGTGGATAAGACCAAGAAAGGGATCAATCCCTGAGTGAAGCGCCAGACCAAATTTATACTTCCATTTATCATGTTGATCCATAGCCCAGAGATCATTTGCTCCAGCAGCCCAGAAGCGCTTTCGACGAAAATGGCCACTGCGGCGCTCACGAACCTGGGCCGGTTCATAGGTATGAAAGTACTGCATTATAACGTTCCTGCAAGACAAATACATCAATTGGGTGAATTCAGAATTGAGGAGTACCAGCGCACCGTGAAACCTTCATATTTTCCTTGTGCAACAGCAAATCCACCATCTCACGGCCACCGGCTTTCGGATAAATGACCCTAAGTTTGCTGATCACTAAATGAATTGAGTCTACAGTATGACCCTGCTTTCGTGTCTGTATGAAGCCCAGCTTCTTGCGGATTTTCCGAAATGTGACAATTCTTAAAGCATTGAGTAAAAGAGATGTGTTAGGTGGGAGATGGATCCTACTCAAGGCCATAAAGCTCAAGATCAATGTGATGTTTCTTCAAAAGCGCCAGGATCTTGACATCCGTCTTCTTTTGAAACCAATAGGTCTCAATGAAGGGCCGCAATGATTCAGTGGGTGCTGCAACAGATTACCCAGATATACTAGCTGCTGTTTCAATGTCACTTACGGGGAGGCTTGTGTTGATTCTTCGACATCGAGGACAGTGAGTATGAATGAATATAAGGCAGGGAGGAATTAGATAAAGACCGTCGCTTTCACTATGCTTATAAAGGTTGGATTTCGCCGAGAATCGGAGTGACTTCACAAAGAAATGAATGTGTCAGAACACAGAAAAAGCCATTACACCGACTTCATCCAATAAAACTATGCACACAGCGGCCAATATCGGGTGAGTTCAGAGAAATTAAGCT